CCTCCTATGTCACCAGAATCGAAACTGTGTGACTTGCTCGGCCGACCGACGTAATATATAATATCTTACTTTTGACCTCTAGATCATTGTTATTTATGCATTAGTTTTTGGTGGGCTACTTGTGTTGCGTGTAGATGCTCCTTACGTCCCTGTTATAATTTATCCTTTGTTGTGAGGAATGTGGTGATACACACCTGATATATATATATATATGTATAAACCCGACAGCATTTAATCTTCTTAGCTTTTTCTAGAATTCTGTAGGAGCTTAGAAGGTGAATACTGAGGACTAGCGTGAAACTCGATGTAAAATGAGCATTTTCATTGTCTGGAACAACATTATGTGTCAACACCAAAAGTAGCCAACCGAGCAGTTCTGTCCAAACTGAGCTTTTCAAAAAATTATGCACACACTTTACAGGCCCATAAATGTCTGCCGTATGAATGCGGAGCTTCGCCCTCCGGGAGTTTGCATGATAAGCGGAGAAGACTGGTCAAGTCCTGGAACAGTTTTTTACTGGTCTGAGCTTTCAAACCCATACAGGAGTTCATCGTTAAAGATAAAATTAGCAGCAGCAGAAAAAAGACGACAATCATAGACCGTACAAGCCAACAACTTATCAGTGACGCAAGTCTGGAGGTAACTGCACAGGCCTCTCTGCACCAGCACCAAATCGCTACATGGATTCGTTTAGTTCCTATTAGTGGACCTCACTTTAATCAATTTTTAGCTTGACTTGTTTCTGGCATGGGTGATTACCTTGATGGCCGTCAAGTTGAAATCATGGCCCGTTACGTAGGCGTTGGCAGTAACATGCGATAATTCATCGCCCCGTCGCACAGACCAACTTACGTTCTTGTCTGCATTATCCGAGCAGCCGCTCAGTTTGTCCTCTAAAGTTACAAGGATAGTTTGCCCATGGAATACGATAGACTTCGCAAGACTGTTCCCTAGCATTTATTTTGTCATGCTGCGCATGGTTAGCTCTGGAATATGAGCAGAAAAAACATTTAGTTTTGACATGAATAGTGGTGGACGCATGTTTGCAAAATAAAATTCCCACAGAAGTTAGAGGGGATATATGAAACCGGAAAGGAACTCCAGAGGCAGTGGAGACGTAAAGTTTGCCCAGATCCTATGACGGATATTTTCATTTCGCTCATCAACAGTGGGTATTTACCCGATGATCAGGTGGAAGATGCGCAGCATACCGAACATCTGCGGAACACCAGAATATTATTCCTGAAACAGCAATTATCATATACGAGGTTTATCGCGTTACAAAACATTTACAGAGAAAAAGTCACATAACCAGTTGATGCCATCTTACGTTTATTGCACTATTTAGATACAGTACACTGCCTATCTTGGTAGATGTCAACCCAAATTCTGAAGTGTAGGGATTTAGAGTAGGGCCTCTGGTAGAAGTTATTAATAATACTAAAACTACTTGCAAATTATCAGTAGGTCGATTTTTTGTCTATCCAAACACTTCTTTGATTTTAGTAACCACTGGGAATTGTTATAGCAGTTTTATATCGCACTTATTACGCATCAAGCACGCAATAACCGCGCATTAATCGCACATTAACCCTTTAGCCACGAATTCCATAAGACGCTTGGGATAGGGGATTTATGCCATACAGCGGCACTACGACAAATCCCTCCCGTGTTTTCATATCGTGCAGCTTGATGCCAAGATATTTCTTTCAGTTCAGAATGCCGGCTTTGGACAAACTGTCCTCCAGCCGCCTGCAGAAACTACATAATTTTAAAAATAACTGCCTGAGTAGTATGCCTCTTTCCCAATTAGTTTCAGCGCTCTTATCAATTAAAAGGGATTTTTCAGAAAACATACACGAAGATAATGTCTCTTTTATTAATTTGGTAGCAAATTACATCTTATTGATATTTATACCTGAATAAAGGGCTATTTCGGGTTTAAAATTTTCCTATAACGAGAATTGACACGAAAGTAATATAATACATCGTATCCATCAATTTTTATATGTTGCCTATAAAGGATACAACATGGCCCATATACCCTGCAAAATGTTCTAAGTAATATATGACGTCTTACTTATGTCATCCAGAAATATGTGAACAGCAGTGTCCTTCGTAAAGTTTCCTTACGTGGAATGTGTACAGCATGTAGTTTAGAAACCCTAACTGCAAGTGTAGCAGCCATTCTCCAATCTTCTCCAATTATAAAAGTTGATGGACTAATTTGCTACCAAATGAGTACAAGAAGAAATATTTTTATTAATATTTTATATAAACTATACTTGAATTTATAAGGTCATTGACAATTAACGGGAAAAATCATTCCGCCTAAGCAGTTACTTTTTGCCGGTCGGAAAGAGCTCGTTCAAAAGCCTACACCAGGTGTGATTGAAATATCTTGATATAATGCCGCACGATTATTGGCCTTATGGGCCCACAATTTATTATACAACCATACCTAAGTAATCTTTACGAGTAAAAAACGCACTCCTCATAGTTCAAAGAAATGGCTGACATTTCTTAGACGTAAATTAGATAACACGTATTTTGGAAACTCTAAATGCATGTCTAAAGACAGGTCCGGACCAACCTTATTCAGGAATTGAAAACTTTATTTTAGTTCCAGAAGATACGCTTTCTCTTAATTTAAAGTTCAAAGAGAAAAAAATGAGAAAAATTCGAACTACTTCGGTAGTAGTTATTTAGAGAGGTAATTTATGTGGGTGACCAGGAGGAGGCTCGTTGGTCCGCACGAAATATCTTCGGATCACGCTTATTAAAGCAACATGACAATTATATTTCGGTTATTAATTTCTGATCAGAACTTCCATTTCATAAGATAGGCCATCTACTGTAGTTTAGCACGCGCAAGATACCGTCCTTGAACAGACGGTCGACCTCGTTGGAACCGACGGTGAGCTTTCATATTCTGTATGTGGGGTGGACGTTTTCTTCCGCCCACTTATTTCGGACTTCGTGCTGATGGATTTCCGTAACAAAGGCCTTCCGCCAGTGTGGTCTTGTTCAAGGAGCCATTAAGCTCTAAAACGTTCTCCCTTTCTCTAAAGGGTGCTTTGCTAGGGTATTTCGTGTCTTCTCTCCGAAGCAAAGTCGGGAGGAAACTTGGAGCGGTGAGGTTGTCTCTAGCGGTCTTTTTTGGGTCCTTATGTATTATAGCTACCTACTTAAATGTGTAAGTAGGTTGAACTACCTGTACAATTCTGGTTTTCTACGCGCCATCCATCGATCTAGCAGGGATT